AGCTGCTGCTGCTGCTGCTGCTGCTGCTGCTGCTGCTGCTGCTGCTGCTGCTGCTGCTGCGAAAACAAGAGCGGCTCTCTGCGTGTGGGGCCTGCTGCAGCTGCTGCTGTGCACAGGCAGCAAGGTGCGGCGGCTGCAGGGCGTGGAGGGCGCGGAAGCTTCTGGGGTTTTCTATTTGCGAAGTTTGGGAGATTTGCTGCAGCTGCGAGACAGTCTGTTTTCAGATGTCAATACACCCCAAGCCCTCAAACACGTCGTTGTGGGGTCTTCTTTCATCGGCCTCGAAGTCGCAGCAGCTTTGAAGAAAGTCGGAGTTCGAGACGTCGCAGTCGTCGGCAGGGTAAGCAGCAGCAGCAGCAGCAGCAGCAGCAGCAGCAGCAGCAGCAGCAGCGGGAGTAGTAGTAGCAGCAGCAGCAGCAGTAGTGCTAGTGGCAGCCACAGCAGGAGTAGTAGTAGTAGCAGCAGCTGCAGGAGTAGTAGCAGCAGCAGCAACAGCAGCGGCAGCTGCAGCTGCAGCTGTAGTACTAGCAGCAGCAGCAGCAGTGTAGCTGCTGCAGCAGACGCAGCAGTAGTGTCAGGGACGGCAGGCGCAGCAGCAGCAGCAGCAGTATACCAGCTGCAGCAGAAGCTGCAGCGGCGGAAACAGCAGCACCTGCAGAAACAGTAGCAGCAGCAGCAACAAGAGCAAAAGCATAAGCAGTAACAGGAGCAGCAGTAGCAGCAGGAGCAGCAGCAGCGGAAATAGCAGCAGTCGTAACAGCAGCAGCAGCAGCAGCAGCAACTGCAACAGCAAACTTATTCTCGGGAATTAAGGCAGTTTGTGCATGCTTTAGTGGAGACACTTGTAGATGTGGGTCATTTGTATTTAGTTAGTTTTATTCAATAAATAATAATTATATTGCTGCCTTCCTGCTGTTGCTGCTGCTGCTGCTGCTGCTGCTGCTGCTGCTGCTGCTGCTGCTGCTGCTGCGTCTGTAGGAAAAGGTCCCCTTGGAGTTGGTCTTGGGCGAACGCGTGGGCGGCGCTTTTAAGAATTTGTTGGAAGCAAATGGAGTGGAGTTTATTCCCAATATGGAAGCTTCAGAGATCATGTGTGCTGCTGTTGCTGCTGCTGCTGCTGCTGCTGCTGCTGCTGCTGCTGCAGTTGCTGCTGCTGTTGCTGCTGCTGTTTGTGCCGACGCTGTTCCTGGTGCAGTGTTGGCCTCCATAGCGGCAGTTCTTGCTACGAAGGCAGTTTTAGTTCCTGCTGCTGCTGTGCTGCTGCTGCTGCTGCTGCTGCTGCTGCTGCTGGCTGGGCGTTTTTGTGTTCGCTGGAAAGCCCGTTCTAGCTGCTGCTTCTCTGGGGGGCACTCCTCCGCGGTTTGCTGCTGCTGTGGATGCCTTTTGCTGCTGCTTGCTGCTGCTGCTGCTCCTCGCCTGTTACTGCATGTGCTGCACACGCTGCATCTGCTGCTGCTCCTCCTCGCCCGCTACTGCATGTGCTACATCTGCTGCACCTGCTGCTGCTGCTGCTGCTGCTGCTGCTGCTGCTGCTGCTGCTGCAGCACGCGGGACGGCAAGGTAACAGGAGTGCGTCTCAAGAGCGGGCGAGTCTTAGCAGCAGATCGGGTCATTGTGGGGATTGGAGTTGTTCCTGAGCTGCCCCACATCAGCAGCAGCAAACAGCTGCAGCAGGGAAACCGCGGGGGACTTGCTGTGGACCCCTTCCTCTCGTACGCGCTGCTGCTGCTGCCTTTGCTGCTGCTGCTGCTGCTTTTGCTGCTGCTGCTTTTGCTGCTGCTGCTGCTTTTGCTGCTGCTGCTGCTTTTGCTGCTGCTGCTGCTTTTGCTGCTGCTGGTGCTGATGGTGGCGCTGATGCCGTTGGTTTTGCTGATGCTGTTGCCTCTGTTGCTCCTGCTGCTGTCGCCGCTCCTGCAGCAGCAGCAGCTGCTGCTGCTGCTGCTGCTGCCTGCTTTGTCTCTCGAGGTTCAAATTCTCTTCGTTGATTGCGCTGCTGCTGATTTGCTGCACGTGTCTCTTGCTGCTGGATTGCTGCTTTTTATCTGGCGGTGCTGCTGCTGCGCCTTTGAGGGCCTAACGCAGCAGCAGCAGCTGCTGCTGCTGCTGCTCTCCTGCTGCTGCTGTGCTGCACCTTCTTACCTCTGCTGCTGCTTTTCTTTTTTTGTGACTCCTTTTAATCCTCTGGCTGCCCCTGCAGCCCATTGCTGCTTGGAGTCTGTGGTCACCAGCTTTGCTGCTGCTGCAGCAGCAGCAAAACAGCTACTGTCGCAGCTGCTGCTGCACCTGCTGCTGCTGCTGCTGCTGCTGCTGCGTGCAGCTGCCCTTCGCACCCCACAATATTTGCTGCTGGAGATATCGCGAGCTTTCCCTACGTGAAATCTGGTGCGTCATGAATTTGCTGTTGTGTCTTCTGTATTTCTTTTATCTCTTTTTCCTTTTTTGACTTTTTTATTTTTATTTTTTTGTTTTTTGTTTCTTTTTTGACTTTTTTATTTTTTTGTTTTTTGTTTCTTTTTTGGCTCTTTTTATTTCCTCGTGGCTTTGTTTTCCTTCTCTCTAAGTTTGGGCTGTGTCTTCTGAAACTTGGTTCAGCAGCAAGCTGCAGCAGCTGCAGCAGCAGCTGCTGCTGCTGCAGCAGAACCTGCTGCTGCGTGCAGAAATGCTGCTGCTGCGCCTCTTGCTTCTGGCTCTCTTGCTGCTGCGCTACTTGCTGCTGCTTTGTCTGCTGCTGCAGCTCCAGTTGCTCTGACTGTTGCTGCAGTTGCTGTGTCTGCTGCTGGTACTCCACCTGCTGCTGCTGCTCAATTGCTGCTGCTGCTCCACCTGTTGCTGCTTTTACTTCACCTGCTGCTGCTTCACCCGCTGCTGGAGTGCCTGCTGCCGCTGCTAAAGCGGCAGCTGCCGCTGCTCTCCCTGCTGCTGCCGCTGCTGCACCTGCTGCTGCTGCTCTGCTGCTGCTGCTGCTGCTGCTGCTGCTGCTGCAGGGGAAGACATCCGCGTGGAACACTTTGCAACAGCAATGGACCAGGGCCGTGTTGCTGCTGCTAACATGTTGGGACTTAATCGCCCTTTTGCTGCTTTGCCTTTTTTCTGGACAATGCTGTTTGGCAAGGGGCTGCGGTGGGGTGTACAGACAGCTGCTGCCCCACAGTTTGCGACTTTTCTCCTTTTTGCTTTTCAAATAAATCCTTTTTCCAAACTTTTTGCTTTTTTGTCTTCTTTTTTTCTTTTATTTTAGCTCCTTTTGTTTTGTCTTCTAATTTGTCTCATTTATTTCAATTTTATTCTTTTCTTTTGTATTTTGTTGTCTTTTCATTTCCTTTTATTCAAGTCTTTCTTTTTTTTATCTTTTTTGCCTTTTTAATTTATTTATCTCCTTTTATCTTTTCACTTCTTTTCATTTTTCTGCGTTCGTCTTTTTGTTTTCTCTTAATTATCTTTTTTTCTCCTTTTAGTTTTCTTTTTTTAATCTTTTTTTCTTTTTTCTTTTTTTCTTTCTTTTGCATATTTTTGTCTTTTATTTATTTCCCTCTAAATCTTTTTATTTTTTATTTCCTTTTTTGATTTCTTTCCTTTCTTTATATCTTTTTGTCTTTTTTACTTTTTTGTGCCCTTTGAGTTTAGATGCCTTTCTCTCTTTTTATTTTTTCTTTTTTTTAATCTCTCTGCTTCCACCATTAATAATTAATTACTAATGATTAATTATTAGTTGTGTATTGTTTATTATTTATTGTTTTTTATTTATTATTTATTATTTATTATCTGCTACTTTCCTTTTTTATTTTTTTATTTTGCTGCTGCAGCTACATCGGCAACGGCCACGGCTTCGAAGATGTAATTGTAGAAGGAGATCTTTCCAAGTTCCAGTTTGTCGCTTATTACACGAAGGGAGACAAGGTGACCTTGCTGCTGCTGCTGCTGCTGCTGCTGCTGCTGCTGCTGCTGCTGCTGGTGTGCTGGGCTTGCAGCAGGTGCTGCTGCTGGCGGTGCTGCTGCCGTCGCTGGGCTTGCTGCAGTTGCAGCAGGTGCTGCAGTTGCTGCTGCTGTTGGAGCTGTTGCTGCAGATGCTGGGGCCGCTGGTATAGCTGCTGCCGCAGCAGCAGCTGTTATTGTGCTTGGTGCAGCAGCAGCAGCAGCAGCAGCAATCTCACTAGCTGCTGCGCTGCTGCAGCCGTTTATCCGCGTCTCCTTACTGCTGTGGAACTGTTGCTGCGTCTTCCATTCGGCAGCAGCTGCGGTCGACTGTGCTAAGGCGCTGCTGCTGCTGCTGCTGCTGCTGCTGCTGCTGCTGCTGTGTGTGCAGGTAATAGCAGCAGCAACTATGGGCAAAGACCCTGCCTGCGTGGCCATAGGAGAAGCTTTGAAAGCCAACATAATGCCAACAGCAGCAGAACTTCGCATGGGCCTGCAAAACTCCCAAGACATCATTAACAGAGTCAAGGTAGAGCAACTCCTGCTGCTGCGCTTGCTGCTGCTGCTGCTGCTGCGCTTGCTGCTGCTGCTGCTGCGCTTGCTGCTGTAACTGCTGGGCGTGCTGCTGCTGTGGTTGCTGCTGCTGCTCGTGATGTGGCTCAAACTCTTGGTGCTGCTGCTGCTGCTTTTATTGCTGTTGTAGCGGCTGTTGTTGCTGCTGCTGCTGGATTGGCAGCAAAGTTATGCGCTGATGCCACTGCAGTTGTTCTTGCTGCTGCTGCTGCTGCTGCTCTTCTGTTACCGCTGCTGCTGCTGCTGCTGCTGCTTTGCTGCGACGTGGGAAGCGACACAAAGTCCCAGTCTCTGTGGGTTCATTTTGCTGCTGCAGCAAAACGCCATCAAGAAGGTTGCGTAGAGGCTGCAGCAGCAGCATCCACTGCGAGATGATGGGAGCCAAGCAGCAGCAGCAGCAGCAGCAGCAGCAGCAGCAGGGGTTGCTGCTGCAGCATTGGCAGCAGCAACCCCAGCAGCAGCATCATTTACAGTGAGAACTCTCTGGCAGCATCTGTTTTATGACTCTTTGCTCTTTTTCTCCTTTTGCTGCTGCAGCAAGAGAGAGTTGCATTCATTTCTTTTTGTGCAGCAGCTTGCTGCTAGCAAGGTGCCTCCGCAGCTGTCTAGCTAGCTAGCTAGCTAGACAGCTAGCTAGCTAGCTAGCTAGCTAGACAGCTAGCTAGCTAGCTAGCTAGCTAGCTAGCTGCCGGGTCCTTGCAGGCCTGCTGCTGCCCCCAAGGCCTGAAGCCTGAAACCTCTTACGTATGCAGTACGTGCCTTGAGGCTAAACATGAAAAAGGCTGCTGCTGCAACAGCAGCAGCAGGTGCTGCAGCAGTTGCTGCAGCAACAGCAGCAGCAAATTTTGTTGCACTTTGCATTGCTGCCGTGGATAGCACGGCGCACTGCCACCGTATCGCACATTTCTCTACGCAGCTTAGCGGAGAGGGAAACAGCAGCAGCAGCAGCAGCAGCTGCTGCTGCTGCTGTTTCTCTCTCAGCAGCAGCAGCAGCTGCAGCAGCAGCTGCAGCAGCTGCTGCAGCAGCTGCTGCTGCTTGTGCTGCTGCTTGTGCTGCAGCTGCGTAGCGTAACTTGCCACTTAGACACACTCATGAGGAGAGCTCTTAGCTTTTAATATTACGTTGCGCTGGAGCAAAATTGTGGGGTTGACTTGCTGCTGCTGCAGCAAAGCAGTTCCCTAGTGCTGCAGCAGCAACCTAGCAGCAGCTGCTGCTGCTGCAGCCCAGCTTCTGCAGCGGTTGCTCAGCACCAGGAGCTTCAGCAGCACCCGGAAGGCTCCTGCAGCAGCGGCTGAGGGGGTGCTGCAGCAGCTGCTGCAGCGTAACCCAGCTGCTGCTGCAGGTCAGCAGCAGCAGCAGCAGCAGCAGCAGCGCTGCTGAAAGTTATGCTGCTGCTTCTCCGAGGGAGACCGGCGGCGTTTGCTGCTGCTGCTCTCTCACCTCTTGCGCCAAAGTTTTGTCTCCCAAAATGTCTTCGAGGTCTTCCCTGCGAAGCAACAGGCAGCGGGAGTCTCCCTTTTAGGGTTTAGGGTTTAGGGTTTAGGGCTTCGGGTTTAGGGTTTTGGGGCTAGGGTTTAGGGTTTGGCTGCGGGCCACGCGGCCAGACCCTAAACCCTAAGCTCCCGCTGCTTGGTGCGAAGCAGTCAGCAACGGGAGTCTGCAGCCCTAGGGTTTAGGGTTTAGGGTTTAGGGTTTAGGGTTTAGGGTTTAGGGTTTATACTTGTAGTCCCTCAAAAGACAACACAAAGAACGCATGCAAGCTTCTTGCAGCGGAGAGCGCCGCGCGCGAAATAAGGTGTCTAGACACCGCAGCACCGGCACCACCTGCGGCCGCACAGCCAAACCCTAAACCCTAAACCCTAAACCCTAGCCCTAAGCCCTAAACCCTAGCCCTAAACCCCAGCCCCAAACCCTAAACCCTAGGCCTAAACCCCAAAGCCTGCCGCTTCGGCTTGCAGAGTTAAGCCACGGCCTCAAACCCTAGACCCTCAGCTGCACCCCTGGAAGCAGCAGCGCGGGCGCCAGCCCTGAACCCTAAACCCTAAACCCTAATTTGGGGTTTAGGCGCTGCAGCGCAGCAAATTGAAGGAGGCAGCAGATAAAAGACAAACCTCTGTCTGCAGCACCCGCCGCACCAGCGAAGCCACCAGCCCCTCAACTTGTGCTGCGGGGCCCCCGGGGCCCCCGGGGGCCCCCCGCTGTACCCTAAGGTTGGGGGGCCCCTTGCTGGGGGCCCCGGGGTCTGCTTCGTTCTCCCCGTCTTCTGCTTCTGCTGCTGCTGCTGCTGCTGCTGCTGCTGCTGCGCCGGTAGCCCGCAGCACCTTTATGCGCAGGTCTGTTGATGCCAGCAGCAGAAATGCGTCTTCAAGAAGACGCCCCAGGGGCTCCTGGGGAGACGGAATCGGCAGCAGCAGAAACAGCAGCAGGAAAAGTAACGAAAAGGCGCCCAGATAGTCTGCGTCCAGTGCGCCTGG